ATTATATTCCATTTATCCATTTGTCTGTTTTTATGCCAGTGCTATGCAGGTTTTTTATTATAACTCTGTAGGAAAGCTTGAAATCAGGGATGCTGATACCTCCTGAAGTTCTTTTATTTTACAGGGTTGGTTGTTTTAGCTATCATGGGTTTTCTGTTTTTCCATATGAAGTTGAATATTGTTCTTTCAAGGTCTGTAAAGAATTGTGTTGGGATTTTAAAGGGGATTTCATTGAATGTGTAGATTGCTTTTGATAAGATGGCCATTTTACTATGTTAATCCTACCAATCCATGAATATATGAGATAGTTCCATCTTCTGTTATCTTCTCCAGTTTCTATCTTCAAAGACTTGAAGTTCTTGTCATACAGGTCTTGCACTTGCTTGATTAGAGTTATCCCAAGATATTTTATATTATTTGTGGCTAATGTGAAGGAGGTTATTTCCCTGATTATTTTCTGTGCCTGTGTATCATTTGTGTATAGGAGGGCTACTGATTTTTTTGAGTTAATGTATCCAGCTACTTTACTAAAGGTTTCCCCTGTTACAGTTTTGGGGGTCACTTATGTATACCATCATATCATCTGTGAATATTGATAATTTTACTTCTTCCTTTACAGTTTGTATCTTCTTGATCTCCTTTAGTTGTCTTATCACTCTAGCTAGAAATTCCAGTACTATATTGAAGAGATATGGAGAGAGTGGACAGCCTTGTCCTGTCTCTGATTTTAGTGGAATTGCTTTGAGTTTCTCTCCATCTCATTTGATGTTGCCTGTTGGCTTGTTATATATTGTATTATGTTTAAGTATATTCTTTGTATCTTTGATATCTCCAAGACATTTATCATGAAGACGTGTTGGATTCTGTCAAAGGCTTTCTTCACCATCTAAGGAAATGATCATGTGGTTTTTTATCTTTCAGTTTGTTTATGTAGTGTATAACATGGACAGATTTTCATATGTTGAACCATCCCTGCATCTCTGGAAGGAAGCCTATTTGATTATGGTGTATGATCCTATTGATGTGTTCTTGGATACAGTTTGCCAATATTTTATTGAGTGTTTTTATGTGAATGTTCATATGGGATATTTGTCTGTAGTTCTCTCTCTTTGTTGAGTCTTTGTGTGGTTTTGGTATTAGGATGACTATGGCCTCATAAAATGAATTTGTCAATGTTCCTTCTGTTTGTATTTTGTGGAATAATTTGAGGAGTATTGGTATTAGTTCTTCTTTGAAAGTCTGGTTGAATTCTGCACTAAAACATCTGGCCCTGTTTTTGTTTTGTTTTTTTTTAATTTGGGAGACTTCTGATGACTGCTTCTGTTTCCACAGATATTATAGTTTAAATTGTTCATCTGATCTTGATTTAACTTTGTTAAATGGTATCTATCAAAAATGTTCTACTTCTTTTACATTTTCTAACTTTGTGAAGTACAAGTTTTTGAAGTATGACTTGATTATTCTCTGAATTTCCTGACTGTTGTTATGTCCACCTTTTCATATCTGGTTTTGTTAATTTGGATATTCTCTCTGTGTCTTTTCTTAGTTTGTAAAAGGGGTTGCCTATCTTGTTAATTTTCTTGAAAAACCAACTCTTGGATGCATTCGCTTCTTTTTGTTCTAGAGTTTTCAAGTGTGGCATTAAGTTGCTAGTATGAGTTCTCTGCAATTTCTTTATGAAGGCAATTAATGCTATGAAGAGTTTCCTCTTAGCAATGCTTTCATTGTGTCCCATAAATTTGGATATGTTGTGCATTCATTTTCATTGACTTCTAGGAAGTCTTTAATTTATTTCTTCCTTGACACAGCAGTCATTCAGTAGAGAGTTGTTCAGTTTCCATGAATTTGTAGGCTTTCTGTTGTTGTTGAAATCCAGCTTTCACCTGTGGTGGTCTGATAGGATACAGGGATTATTTCAGTTTTCTTGTATCTGTTGTGCCTTGCTTTGTTACTAAGTATGTGGTCAATAATTGAGAATGTTCTGTGAGGTGCTGAGAAGAAAGTGTATTCTTTTATGTTTAGGTGAAATGCTCTGTAGATATCTGTTAGGCCCATTTGGTTTATAATGTCTGTTAACTCCATTATTTCTCTGTTTAGTTTTCATCTGGATGATCTGCCCATTGTTGAGAGTAGGGTACTGATGTCTTCCACTATCAGCGTGTGAGGATTGGTGTGTAATTTAAGCTTTAGTAGTGTTTCATTTGCTTGTGGGTGTCCATGTGTTTGGGGTACAGGTGTCAAGAACTGAAATGTCATTTTGGTGGATTTTTCCTTTGATGAGTATGAAGTACCCTTCCCCATTACTTTAGATTAATTTTGGTTTGAAGTCTATGTTGGTAGATATTAGGATTGCTACAGCAGTTTGTTTCTTGGAGCCATTTGCTTGGAAAATCTTTTTCCAAGCCTTTCCTCTGAGGCAATGTCTGTCTTTGATGTTGAGGTGTGTTTCTTGTATGCAGCAGGAAGATGGAGTTTATTATCATTATCCATTCTGTTAGCCTCTGTCTTTTTATTGGGGAATTGAATCCATTGATATTGGGAGATTTGAGAGATATCAATGACCAATGATTGTTAATTCCTGTTATTTTCTTTTGGTTGTTGTTGTTGTTGGTGGTGGTGGTGGTGGTGGTGGTGGTTGTGTGTGTGTGTGTGTGTGTGTGTGTGTGTGTGTGTGTGTGTGTCCCTGTCCTTTTTGGGTTATGCTGGTGTGAAATTATTTATTGCCTCTGTTTTCATGGGTATAGATAACCACCTTGGCTTGAATTTTACCTTCTAGTACCTTCTGGATTTGTGGATAGATATTGTTTAAGTTTAACTTTGTCATGGATATTCTGTTTTTCCATCTATGGTGATTGAAAGTTTTGCTGGGTATAGTAGTCTGGGCTGGCATCTGTGGTCTCTTAGAGTCTGCAAGATATCTGTCCAGGTCCTTTTGGTTTTTAGAATCTCCATTGAGAAGTTGAATATAATTCTAATATGTTTGTCTTTATATGTTATTTGGCCCTTGCAGCTTTTAATATTCTTTGTTTGTTCTGTGTGTTTAGTATTTTGATTATTATGTGGACAAGGATCTTTCTTTTCTTGTCCAATCTATTTGATATTCTGTAAGCTTCTTGTACCTTTATAGGCATATCCTTCTGCAGGTTAGGAAATTTTTCTTTAATGATTTTGCTAAAAATATTTTCTGTTGGGAATCTTCTCCTTCTTCTCTTTCGAGTATTATTATGTTTGGACTTTTTATAGTGTCCCTCGTTTCTTGGCTGTTTTGTGTCAGGAACTTTTTAGATTTAACATTTTTTTCTATCACGTCTTCAGTGCCTGAGATTCTCTCTTCTATATCTTGTATTCTGTTGGTTATGCGTTCATCTGTAGTTCCTGTTTACTTACCTAGATTTTCAATTTCCAGAATTCCCTCAGTTTGTGCTTTCTTTATTGTTTCTAGTTTCAGGACTTGAACAGCTGTATTCATTTCTTTCAACTGTTTTTCGCCTTGGCTTTGTTGACATCCTTTAAGGGATTTATTGATTTTCTCCAACATTTGATTGTCCTTTTCTTGATTTCTTTAAGAGATTTATCAATTTCCTCTCAAAGGACCTCTATGATCTTTATAAAGTTATTTCAAGGTCATTTTCTTCTGCTTCAGCTGTGTTGGAATATTCAGGGCTTGCTATATTCCAAGCTGGGCTCTGGTGGTGCCATATTGCTCTGGCTGTTGGTGATCATGTTCTTACACGGATGTTTAGGCATGTGGACTTGGAGTGATTATACGTCTAGGTGCCGATTTCTGCGTTTGTCTTAGCTGAGTGGATATTTTGATACTTGGCTCCTGTTTCCTCTCGGGTCTTCTGGTTGTGGTGGCTTTTGTTTTAATAGAGGGTTTCCACTCACACGGGGGATGGAAGACTCCATGGCCCCCTTACTCTTGTATCCTCTATTTCTCTAAAGCCAGAACTATATGGACAATGCTACCACCAAGTTCAGCTGCCTGTTTGTGTTGGAGCCTGGTTCTTCCTTAAATCACAATTATTGTAATTTTTTAAAAGCAACAAAAGAGAGAAAGACTCCATGTAACAGTTCAATCAGAAAGGTTTTTTATTTGGTGAAAGAATCATTAGAAAGGGGGAAGGAGGCAGCTGGCCTCTGGGGACAAGAACAGCAAGAGAGAGAAAAGAGAGGCAGAGGGGGGAACAGGTAGACAGAGAGGGGGATGGGAGGTGGGCAGGATCCTTTTAAAATGGAACATAGTGAATAGGCACAGGTGGTGCTCTTAGTGACTGCAGTTGAGGATATATCCTGTTATAACTCCAAGGACAAGCCAGTACAAATGCCTAAATACATTCCTCCCTTTTTATTTGTTATAAAAAATATGAGGCACTAGAAAGCGGTAGTGGGTGAGGCAGGCATAAGGATTCTGTGTTCTCAAAACTACTTTGTGCTGACCTTGGGGGACCTGGGAAAGCTGGGGTGCTAGCCACATCCTGGAGTATCTGGTTGTTTCACTTCATTCACTGTCCAGGCTCTTTGGAACTATCAGGCACCATCTGGACCTGGCAAAATGCTGTTCAAAGTGGATCCAAGTTGACTCCCCAGGGCTCAAAGCACCTGATCCTTTCCCTTCACCACAGCATCTCCTGGACATGTTTGGTAGTCTTGTGCCTTCAGCTCAATGGCCAACAGCTGGTAGTACTGCAACAATAGCAGATTAAGAATGGTCAGTGGGTCTCCAAAAATATCTCAATGGGAGCAACGAGGTATAGATGATGACACAGCCTCCATGAGTAAGGCAAAGAAGCCCCAAGGGTCTGCAACTCCTAGCATCCCAGTAATTCAGAGAGGGTCAATTTGCAGGCACAAACTGCTCAGTGATTCCTCAAGCAAAGAGCAGGGTCCAAGAACTCTGAGCTAGAGAGAAACACAGTTGTCTGGTACCAAGACTTTGAGAAAAGTCAGAAGGTAAGGAGAAGACTGTGTTCAAGAAATGAAGCCTCACATCCAGACGAATGGTCAGTCAGAGCAGTGAAGGAGTCCAGTGTTCCCCCTCAAACCCTGAGTCTTCTGATGAGTCCACTGAGACACAGATGATGAGGGTGACCATTTGCCTCAAAGAAGGAGGCCAGGCCAAGTCCAGTGGCCTCACTGAGTTGGAAGACACAGCCAGACACGCAAACGTCCAAGGCAGGGGAAGTTTCGTCCATGTTCCCCCCTCTATACTGTGCAGTACTCCCTGGGGGCTCAGCTCAGGCATGGAAAAGCAGGCTCCAGGAGTGCTGAAAGGCTCTCTGTGTAAGAAAAAGCAGAGCGTGGTCTGGAGCAAAGAAGGGAGCAGAACGGGCTACACAGGAGCTTCTGCTGCTGCCTCTGCCCCTGCCCCTGCTGCTTCAGGAGCCTTGCCCAAGACCAGTCCTAGAAAGAAGACAGCTCAGGAGAAGAAGCCCTCGCCAGATGCCTCAAGAGGACCCCTGGGAAGAACCTTCCCACCATGGGGGCAGAGACTCAAGTCAGCTCCTGTAGGGCAAGCTACCCTGCCCCCAATCTCCGGAGTTGCCCTGCTAGGGAAGGCCAGTAAATGCTCACTGCCTTCGGGGCCCAAAGAGTGCAAGCCCTTCTGCACTGGGAAGAGATCCATGGCAAGGAAGACAAAGGAATCCCAGCCAGGGGACAAAGAAGATAATGACCAAACCAGAGATCCTGGCCTGCAAGTCCAAGTGAGTAGACCAGCCTCTGTCTCCTGTCCCCCTGCTCTCCCCCTCCCCAGCACACACCATTCCCTGCTCCATCTGTCCCTGCAGAGGGTGTGTAGTCAGTCTCAAGGGCCTCCTGATCCCTCCCTCCTGGTTCTTCCCCAAGGAAGCCAGGCCAGGACCTGAGCCTTTCCATTGCCTATGGGTGCCTTCCTGGCAGAGCTCTGCCCCCTGACCTGAGGCTGACGAGGAACAGATAGTGCAGATGGGATGAGCCTCAGCAGCCTCCATTTTGTTCCCGCACTTGCCCCCCAGCCCCTCCACCACATGTACTCAGTGAGAAATTTTTGTGTGAGCTTCCAACACACAGGGCAGAGCCACCTTGCTCGTATCGTGGAGACGTGACCAGTGGAGACCCCAACTTGAGAGCACCCCAAGTTCCAGGAAACTCCCAGCTCGTGGCCCTGAGTCAGAGAAGTGCCAGACCCAGAGCACCTGCACCGGCTGGTGAGTCTGTGGGGTTTGAGAGCCGTGAGGGAAGACAGGGGAAGGAAGGAAACCTCATGCTCTGTTCCTTTGGGGAATTGCAGCCTTGTTGCTTGGGCTTCCTTGTGCAGGTTGGCAGGGAGTCCACAGGAGACTGGGCTCAGGCAGGGCTGGCCTCAGGCCACATCGTGGAATGAATGGGACTGTGGGATGCATGACTTTAAAAGGTGGGAAAACTCCAACTCCACAGGCTGCCTTTAGCACACCAGAGTCTTGCTGGTGAGTCCTGCTCAGGCACTGAGTTCATCCCATGTTCTGGATTTGGCTAGCAATCATCCTAGGGGTACACAGGGCTTCTGGGCTACCTATGGCAACAGGGCAGGAAGGCTGGGAGCTTGGAGGAGCTGATGTCCCAACATCTACAAGTTGCTGCCAGCAGAGGGCGAGGTTGTACCATTTAGATTTCACCAGATCCTTCCCACCTGGAACCCAAGTCTGGAGGCTGCATAATACATTTATTTATTTTTCCCCAGGAGATGAGGATCCACCTTTGAGTCCTTTATTTCCTGTTGGAGACAGTCAGCCAGCATTACAAGGCACACCAGGCTGTCCTCAGGTAGGGCTTTCTCAGCTCAGAAAAGCCAGCCCCAGCTAGGCCCTGAAGGGACTGTTAACGTGACAGTTAACCTCCTGTGTGGCATCCTATCTGACACTCCACAGCATGGGGGCACCTCCTTCCCCGTCCAAGGTTCTTTGGGAGTGTAGTCAGAGGTCTGAGGCTGGTGGGAGGTGTGAATGGAGCAGAGAGAAAGCCAGGACATTGAATGATGATCTCCCTTTCTTTTTGTCCGGTGTCTCCTGGACTAGTGTCTAATATTGCAGAAGGAAATAGAGGAGCTCAAGGAACAACTAGGTATGACCGACCCAGGGCAGGGAAGTGATGGTGCCAGGACCACAGGGAGAGCTTAGTGTTTGGGAACAGGTGATTGGGGTGGACTGAGGTGTGGTTCTCTTGAGGGAGGTGACCTCAAGCAGGCCAGGCTAGGAGGCCTCTGTGCATTGACCTCAGGGACTTACACGGAGAAGCAGTGCTCTCCCGTGTGCAGTGCGGATGAGTCCCTCGGGTTCCCTTCTCTGTGGGCATTTAGACGTTCCCGCTTTAGATTCCCCCGAAGTCCTGGCAGCTGCAGCTTGTGAGGTGTTTGTTGTCACATGTGTGTTTGTTTTACAAGTAGGGCTGGCACTGCTGTGGCCCAGCGTTTGAGGACTGCCTGTCTATGCTGTTCTCCTGTAGAGAATGTTTCCACATAGAGCTCGGTGATGGGTGGGGGATCCTGTCCCAAGGTTCCTTGCACGGGGGCTGGAGGGCAGTGAGGCGGCCGGCTGGAAGTTCCTGTGGCACAGGGAATTAGGCTCAGGCCGGTGGGTTCCTGTGTGTCTGTGTCTGTGTCTGTGTCTGTGTCTGTGTCTGTGTCTGTGTCTGTGTCTGTGTCTGTGTCTGTGTCTGTGTCTGTCTCTGTGTCTGTGTCTGTGTCTGCGTCTGTGTCTGGGGTACCCATCTGTACCTCTGTGTTTCAGCCATCATGCAGGCCCTCAACGAAAAGTTCCAGGATCGTTGACATCAGTGTTGTGCTGTCCACAGGACCTTTGAAGTGAGTGTTCTGCTTCCCACAGCCCTTGCCACACTCCTGACTACTCAGGAAGCCAGGGCTGGCCTGACTCTGTTCTGCCTCACAGGTTGGAGCCGGCATCCCTGCAGAAGAGGCCTGGCTGCCACCCAGGGATCCCGCTTCCTCGCACTAACCCTACAGCAGTGGTTCTCAGCCTTCCTAATGCTGCCACCCTTTACTGCAATCCCTCGTGCTGATGTGACCCCCAGCCATACAGTTACTTCCTTGCTACTTCATACCTGTAAATGGGATACTGTCGTGAATTTCATGTAACTATCCCACGCGCTGAGAACCTCTGCTCTCCAACCAGAGCCGACTTTGTGCCCCTGATGTGCCCCCTGCCTAACTACCCTGATGACAGCTGTTGCACATTAAGTGGTCTTGTCTTATGTCCCTCCGTTTCTCTCTCGGTGGGGTGATGAGGTCCAGCAACAGGGTGGAAACTGTTCCTCTCCCACCCCCTAGAACATTAGTCCCCATTTACACTCTGCTCTATCTCCCCAAATGCAATTCTGGTGCATGAGATTTGAAAAAGTAAATAAAGTACTTTGTGGAGGAAAAAAGCACGGTAGTCCTGAGTGGGAAGTGGTCCCCTTTCTGAGCAGGCACCGTGCGGCCAAGCTTAGGCAGGTGTGCTGGGGCCAGGACGCACATGGCCAGCATTGCCTCCCTTTCCCAAAGACCCCGTCCCTGCCCTGACTACTGCCCCCTCTGGGACAGCATCATGAAGCCCACCTGGTTTTGTTTTGTTTCGTTTTTGCCTCCTGTCCCTTGCATTCCGCAGTCCTTTCTCCTTTCCTGGGCTTTTCCCATCCCAGTCTCTGACCTTCCACATCATTCTCTCCCTGGGATGAGGGACACACAGGGAGTACTGGCCTAGAATTTGACCCTTCATCTTTGGGCTCCTGCATAGACACCCCCTCCCAACTCCCCCAGCCCGCCCCCGCCTCCCCTTTGAAATGGGTTGCCAAGTCCCCTGATTTGCCCCTGGACCATTTCAGTAGAGGGGTGGAGGCCAAATCACATGCCCGTGGTTGGAAGAGTCAGGGAAGCTCCAGTGTACACACAGGGTGTAAGGAACAGATACGTGCCTGCCTGTCTCTGGGCTGCTGGTGATGAAGGGAGTCCTCAGCGGTCCTGTGGGACAATAGGGGTGATGTTCCATGGCAGCGGAGGTGAGGGGCTAGGACCCAAATGTCCACACCTTCCAGATCCTGGTCTGACAGGTGCTCCCATCCACCCCCATTTGAAAAGCTCTGGTTTCAAAGAGTTTGGGGTATCTGTGTGAGAGAGAGTGGGGGCAGGGAGAAAGGGAGGAAAGGAGAGAGAGAAACACGCAACACACACAGAGGTGAGGGGAAATGGGGAGACAGGAAGAGGGAGAGAGGGAGAGAGACACAGGCTCCCAAGCCATGGCACGGGTGTAGTGGTCAGAGAACAATGATTTGGGAGTGGGTTCTCTCCGTCTACCTTATTGAAAGCAAGATGTCTTTTGTTTGTTTGGTTTTTAATTTTTATTTCATTTTATTTTGATTTTTCGAGACGGGGTTTCTCTATGCCTTTGGAGGCTGTCCTGGAACTAGCTTTTGTAGACGAGCCTGGTCGCGAACTCACAGAGATCCGTCTGCCTCTGCCTCCTGAGTGCTGGAATTAAAGCTGTGCGCCACCAACACCAGGCGGTGTCTCTTATTTCTACCTGTGGATTCTACCAGAGCCTAGCTGGCCCTGGAGCTTCTGGGTTCTTCTGTCTCTTTCTGTCATCCTACTGTAGGAAACCTCGAATTTTACATGGGAATCATCAGGTCCAGAAGTTTTTAAAGATCTAGTTTTAATCCCATGTGTAGTGTGTGTGTGTGTGTGTGTGTGTGTGTGTGTGTGTGTGTGTGCGCTTAGGTGTGTGTGTGCTTAGGTGTGTGTGTGCTTAGGTGTGTGTGTGCTTAGGTGTGTGTGTGTGTGTGTGTGTGTGTGCTTAGGTGTGGGTGTTCACACATCAGTGAAGGTTCTGTTGGAGGCCAGTCCATTGGATGCCCCTGAAGCCAGACTTACAAGTGATGTGAGCTGCCTGATGTGGGTGCTGGGAACTGAACTCCTCACACCCTCCCGAAGAGCAGTACACTCACTGTCTTAACCCCCGAGCCATCTCTCTAGCACTGGCATCCAGAGTTTATGTGTGTTCCACAGAGTGAACTCAGGTTGTCAGGCTTGAACCATCTTGCTGACGCATGCATTCATGGTTTTAGATGACGCTTCCACACATGCATGGAAGGTCTTCCACAGGTCCCTCACCCTTCTTCACACATGGCACAAATGTTTCCAAACATATTTGTATGTTCGAGGTCCATCTTCCCTCCTTCCTCCTGGGCTCCACAAACCAGTTCTGCCCTCAGAGGCAGACAGGACGGCTTCCAGCCTAGAGCCAGGAGCAAGTGCCAGGCAGGATCTGAGACTGGCGTAGGGGAGGCAGGTGTGAGTTGTGCCAGCTTGCGTTCCCAAGAGGTGGGCTTCTCACATTTGATGTAGGGTATGGTGACCACAAAACATCTGGGCCCTTGGATCCTGTCCTTGTCCTGTCTGTGCGTGCTTGTGAGTCTGTGAAAGCAGTGTGATTGTCCTTGGAGTGGAAAGCTCTGACTCAGGGCGTGGCAGCTGGAGGTGACACGCGTGCCTGTGGGGGACCCGGTGCACACAAGGGGAGGTTGGGTGTGACTTTCATTGGAGGTGGCTTTTAAATCTTAAAGACAGGAGGGCATGGCTTGGTAGGACATGCTAGTCACAAAAGTCACAGTAAGAAAGGCTGTCAAAAGGTTGGAGTTGCCAAACTAGGTTCTGGATCCTACCCTGGGACGTCCTCTCAAAAGTCCAGCCCTGAGGGACTGGAGAGATGGTTCAGCAGCTAAGAGCACCGGCTGCTCTTGCAGAGGACCTGGGTTTGATTCCCAGCACCCACATCCAGCCCACAAGCATTTGTTAGTCCAGGTCCAGGGATGAGAGGGGCTCTTCTGGCCTTGGGCACTGGGCACAACCATGGACCACAGACATACATGCAGACAGACCATCATACACATGCAGCTGAAATCAAAGGGTTTAAGTTCTGCCTTGGGCAGGGAGTGATGTGCAAGCTGTGCTCCTCAGATTTGCTGGTTTGTGCTGCATTTGGAGCAGGAGCTCTCCTGGCAGCTGGCCTAGCGCAAGCTGAAGGAGAGCCACGTAGTAGGAGCGCAGTGGGCGTGCAAACTCGGAGGGTCAGCTGCTTGTGAAGAGTGGGGCAAGCCTGGCAGCGCCCTGTCCCCATCTCAGGGGCTTCCCTTCCGGCCTCGTGGATCGAACTTAGGGAGACAGTGCATACCATGGTCAACAGGACAGCCATAGACCTGAAAGCCTGGGGGCATAAACCATCCACTCAGAGCCCTTCCCCGAGAAGATGGTAGGCTTCCTCGGGACGTGGCTCTCATCCCGAGTCTCGTGGATACTTCTGGCAGGGGTGAGGGATGAGTGAAGACTCTCAGACTCAGCAGCTGGGCTCCGGACAGCTTGCACGTGTCAGCCAGTCCTGGCTGTGGCGAATTCCCGCACCAGGCACTGTTCTTGCGGGCTCAGGGCCATTGTCACCAGTACACCGCCATGGCGGACGCCAACAGCGCTGTGAGAAAGACTTGCCAGCCCTGCCCCTGCCCTTTGAGCACACAGCCCCTCTCCCTTCAGGCAGACCTACTGCTGCCCAGTACCGTTGCTGTGCTGTGCTGACCGGCTGCCTCCAGGGGAGTTAGTGCAGATTCCCAGGCTCAGGTCTGAAAAACAAGTCCGGGCCCCACTGGAAAGGAGGAGGCAGGGTGGTTCCCTTCAGTCACTCCCCCCCCATTTCTCAGCTTCCCCTCCAGCCAGAAGAGGGCGTGCCCTGGAGAGCACCCAGGCTCTGTCCAGCCTCCTGCTGCTACTCAGCTCAGGGAGGCTGTGCAGGCTGCTACTCAGCTCAGGGAGGCTGTGCAGGCTGCTACTCAGCTCAGGGAGGCTGTGCAGGCTGCTACTCAGCTCAGGGAGGCTGTGCAGGCTGCTACTCAGCTCAGGGAGGCTGTGCAGGCTGCTACTCAGCTCAGGGAGGCTGTGCAGGCTGCTACTCAGCTCAGGGAGGCTGTGCAGGCTGCTACTCAGCTCAGGGAGGCTGTGCAGGCTGGCTGAGCTGTGTGCCTACCCTTGATGCTCTGGCACTGAGGAGTCCCTAGCAGCATCCCACTGGGACTGGGAGCCAGGACTCCCCTGAGTCCCTGTACAAACATGACCTGGAACTTTGGTGGCAGCACAGACGGTCCCCTTCTCCAGGTCCAGGGAACACCCTAGCGGAGCCAGGCACCCCCTAGCCAGGCAGCCATAGTCAGCCGTGCAGAGGCCCAGCGCCCAGCACGTGAGGCTGTGAGGTGACAGCCACAGTGTAGGAGACTCTGTGAGAGTCACTGCACAGATTCCAGTTTGCTGTCCTAGGCTCCTGTGTGACTCTCACCCACCGTATGTCCAGTTGTCCTCCATTTCCGGTAGCTTTTTCCTTTTCCACATTTCCGCATCTTCCATTTCCTCCAAAGGTGAATCCAGAACTCCTGCTGGCCACCTGTGGCCATGTGCCCTTGGATGGTGTGGCCCCCTTGTGACCCTGGGAATCATACCTGTAGTGTTCCTGCCACACTGGTCTCGTGGGGACAGTGAGAAGGGCAGCCTGGTGTCTGGGCATGATAGAATCCCTGTGGCCATCAGTCAGAGCAAGTAGCTCAGCACTGGCAGCCTCGGAGCCCCTCCCTGTTTGCCGCTGCCCCCACCCATTCCCTCTTCCCTGGCTTTCCTGGGGTCAGCTGAGTTTGAAAGCTCCCCTGACTGTCCCACGAGTCACTCACTTCCACTTGTGGATGAATGCGTGGTGTGACTGGTGGACCTTACGGAGATAGAAAACTTAAACCAGGCCA